AATTAAGCGATTTTGGAGTCTCTGGGAGCCTTTTTGTGTACCGACCACCTCTTCGGGCTGGAATGTAACAAGGGCGCACACATGCATGTGCGGACCGGGTCGAAGTAGCGGGGATAGGTAGCGGAGGGGGCTAGGAGGGAAGCGTCCAGAAAGTCGGAGCGGAGTACCGGAACCATGACGTGGCTGTACGGTTTTCAATTTGGCGGATAAGGTACCGCTGTTGCCAGCACCCTGTTTGCAAAGCTCTTGCGGATGTGAAACCCTTGGAAATGTGGAAAGTTCGAGGCAGCCGGGAGTGAAAGGGGGTAGAGGGGCGTGGGGGGGGGGGGGGGGGNNGGGTTTAGGGTTTAGGGGTCGTTCTTTGCCAAATGCAGCAAACCTGATACCTCAAGCCTTAAACCCAAGCCTTTAGACACTGTGCTTTGGAATCTGCAGACGCGGAGATGAACTCCAGGCAAAATTGTTGCTCGTGGCGGAAATGGAGAGGCAGACCTCTCGAAGTGAATTTCGCAGCAAACCTTGAGCGGCTGTAGAGAACCGAAACTTATTTTCACAGACAACATCCGTTGGTACTGTCCATGTGCGCAGCAGGGGTGATGCATCACAATCGGCTGAATGTTATGTAATGTAGTTCGCAGTGCGAGTACCTGCATGCACCTTTTGTCCTGCTTGCAGCTGTCTCGCCCCTTCCAAAATGAGGGGCCATGCAGGATGTGGTCCAGCAATTGTTGACGCAAGCTTGCAAAACATGGGCCAGCAGCCTGACGGGAACTGTTGCGGTAGCGTGCCGTCCGTACAAATATGTGTACTACAGATCAAGGGGGAGAGGGGGCGGGGGGGAAGGGGGGATTTAAACCTGATCATAGAAGGAAAAGGAGGCGACAGATAACAGAGGAGGGGGAGGTGGAGGGGGGGTTAAGATATACCGCTCCTCGCAGACCCCAGACTCGCCGTCCGCTAGCTAGGGGGTACGATCTCGCAATCAAAAACCTCAAATAATGGGGTGCGCATTTGGCGGGTGTGCTGGGAAGAGGGTTATAAGTGTTGGGACCTGATTGCACCTCCCGACTCTGGGCGTCCGGTCTCGGCGGATTCTTGAAAATTCGGTTGGTAAAAGTGCGGTTATCGTTGTGGGGTCAGTGGATTTGTCAAGGAGCCATATCAATGCTTTGGGGCTGGCTCTGACACGTGCCGGAGCGGTAGCACCGGCGAGTCTTGCTATGCGAAGGGAGCGCCGATGGACCCTTGTGTCTGCAGAGATGGTCTGGTGGTTCAAGCACGGTCCTATTCCGAGTTCACTTTCTTCGGAGCGTTTGTCTTCGAATGCTGCGGAGGTGATGCCCCGTTGCGGGACTGCGAGCTTCCAGAGCGCCATCGGCGGCATGCTCAAGTGTTCCGCACTTTGGCTGTTCTCTTCCTGGTCTGCGGAATCCTGGGGACACTGCTCACCACGTGCTGCCTGAATGCTAGGAGGAGATATCTGCCACTGACACACGGTGACGCTGAGCTCCTCGTGCCCAAACAGCAGGGGGACGGGTGGGCATTGCACCAGGCAGTTGCGCTAGAAAGATGGTGCGTGAGCCTGCAAGACCTGCAGCAGTTCCGGCGACTCGTAATGCACGCAGTGTCTGGGGGTGTGATTCAGCCAAACGAGCGAGACATGTTCGATGTTCGAGATTTTCATGTCGGACCCTCGGTCTACACCGTCAATGAGCACTTCATCAAGCCAGTGACGGCGGCGGCTGGAAAAATGAGTTGGGGGCTGTTGAAGAATTCCGCTGGCTTGCCGTGCGCCTGGGACCAGCTTGAGAAAGGTGCTTGTTGTACGAGTGTCAGCTGCTTAAACCCATTTCGAAGCATGATCATCCCTAAACCCTAAACCCTATACCCTAAACCCTAAACCCTATACTTTTATCAGAACACTGGAGTCCTGGAGACCGAGGCGATGTCTTCGTGACGCACTGCTGGGCCGAAGGCATTTACGAGTTTATTGACCGGGTGGAGAGTTCCTGGCCTTCGGGTGCAAGGGGCGCCTATGTCTGCTTCCTGTCTCTAGGTTCCCGAGTAGTACCCTGTTGCCCTTTATATTTGGGGGTCTCCTTATCAAAGCCGAATATTGGGAAAAAGGGTACCCTTATTATTAGGGGGTTACTGGGGAACCAAGGTCTAACCCACAAAATCTTGACATTGGAAGCCTCATCGCGCGCCCGAGTGAATCGCCCTTTGCTTTGGCCTTACGCTCGTCGCCAATGGTTCTGGTCCTACCAAACAGCAAAGTCTCCATCTACACCCGCCTCTGGTGGCGGTCTGCAAAAAGATGAGGGAAACAGAAAGAAAACATGAAGCCTTACCTAGAAAGCCAGTTTTACCATAATTTGGGGTAACTGTTG